TTTTAAAAAGATTCTCTCTCTTCCTCTCCCAGTGCCTGTCCCCGACCCCCTTTCTCTCTAAAAATAAAAAAAAAAATTAAAAAATGAGTCTCCAAATCACATCATTCATTTACACCCTTTCCCTAATGCAATCACTATCTGTTTTACTGTAAATGTTTTAACTAGAAATGTGCCATGATTTGAATGGTGAAATTTCAAAAAAATAATAAATAGGACAGAAAAGGTATTAAATTATATGTTGTCTTATCAACTGGTATATATTTTGGAACCTGTTTTTCTCTACATTTTTTAAATAAAGTTTGAGATTTTATTCTCATGCTAGTTTACAGACTTACCTAATTTTATTAAAAACATATGTAGAGGGGTGCCTGAGTGGTTCAGTCAGTTAAGTGTCTGACTTTGGCTCAGGTCATGATCTCACGGTTCGTGAGTTCGAGCCCCGTGTTGGGCTCTGTGCTGACAGCGCAGAGCCTAGAGCTACGAGCTCTGTGTCTAATAAATAAAAACGTTGAAAAAAAAATTAAAACAAACAAACAAACAAACAAAAAACATATGTAGAGCCTAGAGTATAACTGGGCTTCAACTGTACCAGTTGAGAATGGTAAAAATGTTTTTCAGAGCTCACAAATGAAGTATAACACTAACTGAGTCTGATTTTTTAGTAAACACAACTTTTAGACCAAATGTATTATATTCTTCAACATATTTACTTTGGGAAGATATATATTTACTCTAGTGGTGCTGTCGCTCCTCAATATCATTTTGAAATTGTCTTCAAATTCTCATTTATAGGGTGCCTGGGTGGCTCAGTCAGTTAAGTGTTCAACTCTCTGTTTTGGCCCAAGGTCATGATCTCATGGTTTCATGAGTTCGAGCCCTGTATCGGGCTCTGTGCTGGCAATGTAGTGCCTGCTTGGGATTCTCTCTCTCCCTCTCTCTCTACCCCTCCCCCACTCGCACTGTCTCTGTCTCTCTCAAAATAAATAAATAAACTTAAAAAATTAACAAAAAGTCAACATTTATAGACAATTTTCAAAGCTCTTTTTCCTACTACATTTCCTCCAATGTACAAAATACATACACTTCTCTCTCTCTCTCTCTCTCTCTCTCTCACACACACACACACACACACACACACACACACACACACAATTTCCTTTCTGAACAAAAAAACAGGATTACTGAATCTGAATATCCATCTATTCTTCAAATTGATATCATAATAATGTTTGGCTCCCTCCAAAAACCAAATCCATTCCTCAAAGCCAGTATGTGAAATAGTGCTGAGATAAACTCCCAAAGAAAAGTCCTCCAGGGGTGCCCGGGGTGGCTCAGTTGGTTAAGTGTCCAACTTCAGTTTAGGTCATGATCTCATGGTTTGTTGATCTCATGGTTTGTGAGTTCGAGCTCCACAGTGGTCTCTCTGCTGTCAGCACAGAGCCTGCTTCAGATCCTCTATCTCCCTCTCTCTGCCCCTCCACTGCTCATGTGCTCTTTCTCTCTCAAAAATAAATAAAACATTAAAAAAAAGAAAAATCTCCCAAATATTTTAGGTAATAGTAGTTGTACTGGAGTAAGTTGGATTGGAAACCAAGATTCTTACAAAATGATGGATTCATTTGGAAGCATAAATTAAGCTGTTTTTTCAAACATTAGTTGCATTACTTAATAGCGATTAAACCCAACATTTATGCAGTGCCTTTCTGTTTACAGGTGATTTCTCATTTTTCTCATTGGAGGCCTAATGTAATCCTGTGAAATTACTCACAGACAGAAAAGGAAAATGTCTTTGATCTCTGCTCTTTTCCTGCTAGCTGGAATGGTAGTAGCAATAGCACTCTAGTTTTTTTTTTTTTTTTTTTTTTTTTTTTTTTTTTTTTTTTTTTTTTAATTTTTTTTTTCAACGTTTATTTATTTTATTTTTGGGACAGAGAGAGACAGAGCATGAACGGGGGAGGGGCAGAGAGAGAGGGAGACACAGAATCGGAAACAGGCTCCAGGCTCCGAGCCATCAGCCCAGAGCCCGACGCGGGGCTCGAACTCGCGGACCGCGAGATCGTGACCTGGCTGAAGTCGGACGCTTAACCGACTGCGCCACCCAGGCGCCCCCTAGTTTTTATGTATACAGAAGTAAACTTCTTTTTGTTCTTTAAACCATATTATTTTGGAATCTCTCATTAAAACAATTTCATCTTTTACCGTCTCTTTCTGAATTATTTTTTACCATTTACATACCATTTGTTATCCCTCTAGCCAGCAAGCCATGTGGAGGGCAAGCAAATGTTTGTCCTAGTCTTCGCAAATTATTTGATTCAGTTGGTATTTCTTGTAGCTTTTTTTCACTGCTATTCAGGAGGTTACTTCCTTCTGTTGGTTCTTTTGCATCTATTCCTTTAGAGTTCATAACTGCTTCCTCCTGTGTTTAAAACAATTTAATAATACTTAAAACGGTTATATCTGCTGTACATTTTTATAGCTATCGAGTCATCAAATCACAAATCAAATTTTTACTGCTAGAATCAAGGCTAACACTTTATAGTGGAAATGCAGAGCTATACTAATAGCTAATCAGTGAATGCCTGGAACAAGAATTATGTTAGAGGAATATTTACCATTGAGTCACTATTTGTAGCATTATAAATCCTTGGGGTACACATACTATTTCATTTTGTTTTACAATACTGGGTTTAAAAATTAGCCTACTTAAGATATTTTTCAAGGCAATAGTTGGTTAATATATTAAAGTGGTTCAGAAAAGATAACTATTTGTGGTAAAAGTGAATTAAAATTCATTCATCTACTTGAATTTTAGCAATAAAAAGGGAGGGAAGTAATCACAACCATTCTAGGGGTGAGGCTGGGAACACAAAGCATTTCACAGGCTCTCTATTTTTCCAGCCTCGTGTAGGGCCAGCTGCTAATGAATCTGGGAAAACTGGTAGTCACACCTACTGTACAAATTTGGGGATTAAAAATGGGAAGAACTGTTAATTGAGTGATAGAGCATGAAGAGAACACAACTGTATCAGAGATCTGGAAATATATAGTCCCTCTCTTAAGGAAATGGTTGGAATGCTCTATATTTGATCGTAGGTTTACCTGTGTTTCTTGATATGTAGAGGCTGTGTGGTCCATTCCTGTGGATGGTGTCAAATCTTCATGTTCAATTGCTTTATCTTCATCTCCCATGATTTATAATTAAAAATAAGATGACACAAGGGAGAGGAATGGGAACTGTTTCGAAGGAGAAATAGTACAGATATGTAGCATCAACTTGAGATTTATATGAATGAATTAAGCAGTAATTTGAACAATTTAAATGAATGAATTGTACTTATTTTTTCCCTTGGAACTCTGAATGTCTAAAATATTTTAAATTAGACTATTCTTAACTTTCAATTGCTAACCTTTTCTTTGATTACAATATGTTATACTAATTCTTATTTACTTTCTACTTCTCCTGAAAAAGCCCTTGTTTATCATATTTTTATATGATGTCTTTCCCACCTTGTTTTCTGAGTTATATTTCAAATATTCCAAGCAATACTACTGTTAAATCGTTCTCTCTTATGGTCTGGCTTGATGAAACAGGAAATCTCCAGGCAATTTTTCTTTCTTTTTCTTTCTTTCTTTTCTTTCTTTCTTTTTCTTTCTTTCTTTCTTTCTTTTCTTTCTTTCCTTTCTTTCTTAATATAATTTATTGTCAAATTGGCTTCCATACAACACCCAGTGCTCATCCCAACAAGTGCCCTCCTCAATGCCCACCACCCACTTTCCCCTCTCTTCCACCCCTATCAACTCTCAGTTTGTTCTCTGTATTTAAGAGTCTCTTATGGTTTGCCTCCCTCCCTCTCTGTAACTTTTTTCCCCTTCCCCTTCCCCAAGGTCTTCTGTTAAGTTTCTCAAGATCCACACATGAGTGAAAACATATGGTATCTGTCTGTCTCTGACTGACCTATTTCACTTAGCATAATACCCTCCAGTTCCATCCACGTTGCTGCAAATGGCCAGATTTCATCCTTTCTCATTGCCAAGTAGTATTCCATTGTGTATATAAACCACAATTTCTTTATCCATTCATCAGTTGATGGAAATTAGCCTCTTTCCATAATTTGGCTATTGTTGAAAGTGCTGCTATAAACATTGGGGTACAAGTGCCCCTATGCATCAGCACTCCTGTATCCCTTGGGTAAATTCTTAGCAGAGCTATTGCTGGGTCATAGGGTAGTTCTATTTTTAATTTTTTGAGGAACCTCCACACTGTTTTCCAGAGCAGCTGCACCAGTTTGCATTCCCACCAACAGTGCAAGAGGGTTGCCATTTCTCCACATCCTCGCCAGCATCTATAGTCTCCTGATTTGTTCATTTTAGCCACTCTGACTGGTCTGAGGTGGTATCTCAGTGTGATTTTGATCTGTATTTCCCTGATGAGGAGCGATGTTAAGCATCTTTTCATGTGCCTGTTGGCCATCTGGATGTCTTCTTTAGAGAAGTGTCTATTCATGTCTTCTGCCCATTTCTTCACTGGATTATTTGTTTTTTGGGTGTGGAGTTTGGTGAGTTCTTATAGATTTTGGATACTAGCCCTTTGTCCGATATGTCATTTGCAAATATCTTTTCCCATTCTGTCGGTTGCCTTTTAGTTTTGTTGATTGTTTCCTTTGCAGTGCAGAAGGTTTTTATCTTGATGAGGTCCCAAAAGTTCATTTTTGCTTTTAATTCCCTTGCCTTTGGAGATGTGTTGAGTAGGAAATTGCTGTGGCTGAGGTCAAAGAGGTTGTTGCCTGTTTTTTTCTCTAGTGTTTTGATGGTTTCCTGTCTCACATTTAGGTCTTTCATCCATTTTGAGTTTATTTCTGTGTATGGTGTAAGAAAGTGGTCTAGTTTCATTCTTTTGAATGTTGCTGTCCAGTTCTCCCAGCACCATTTGCTAAAGAGACTTTTTTCCATTGGATACTCCTTCCTGCTTTGTCAAAGATTAGTTGGCCATACATTTGTGGGTCCAATTCTGGGTTCTCTATTCTATTCCATTTGTCCATGTGTCTGTTTTTGTGCCAATACCATGCTGTTTTGATGATTACAGCTTTGTAGTAGAGGCTAAAGTCTGGGATTGTGATGCCTCCCACTTTGGTTTTCTTCTTCAATATTACTTTGGCTATTCGGGGTCTTTTATGGTTTCATACAAATTTTAGGATTGTTTGTACTAGCTCTGAGAAGAATGCTGGTGCAATTTTGATTGGGATTGCATTGAATGTGTAGATTGCTTTGGGTAGTATTGACATTTTAACAATATTTATTCTTCCAATCCATTGCTTCTTGGCCTTTTGGCTAAGATCAAGTGTATTCTTCCAATCCATGAGCATGGAATGTTTTTCCATTTCTTTGTGTCTTCTTCAATTTCCTTCATAAGCACTAGGCAATTTTTCAATGTTGAAATGAGTCGCCAAAGAAAAACCTATGGATTCCATCATTTTCAGAGAAACTAGAATCACTAATTCTTGTCTGGTTCATATTTCTAAATTAAAGTTAAAATAATAACATTGGTTGAGTAGCCACAATGTCTTAGACAACTGAGACATGTTGGTAGTCACTGTAGGTAATTCAAAGATTACAAAAACATATTTTTTGTTCTCTATAGGCTGACGATATACCAGGAAAAATAAACTTACATGAAGTAACTAAAAAACCTGTAGGACAGACCTATAGCTTGACTCTGTAAACTACTTCAATCTCCTCTCTCTTGGCTTCTCATGCTATATAGGCTGAACAACCAAATACTCCAATTCCTGGCCACTTCTGTAGCTATAGATAGCCATGTGTCACAGTTCTGTGTAATGAGATATAAGTGAGAGTCCCTAGGGAGAACTTTCATTCCCAGACTATAAGGCAAGGCTTTTTGAAGATCATACTTTTATTCTTCGTCCTCTAACATTTCTCCTTCTTCTTCCTAGAATGTAGATACACTACCTGGAGGGCCAGTGACCATCTCTCAACCATGAGAAGAAAAAGCCCTATACTAAGGAGAGTAGAAAATTAAGATAGGAGGAGCTGGTTCCTTGACGATACCCTTTAATTGCTCCATCAGTCTTGGATGCCAAGCTTCAAGTTAATTGTTGAAGCTACTGTTAGTCAAGTGTTATTTTTACTAGTAATCAAACTTACTTCTAATGCAACAAGTATAATGATATTACAATAGAAGCACGAACTACAAACCCTGGTATAAGCAAAGGGAAAATTATGTGAGAGAAGGGAAAATCTAAATCAATACATTTGAGTGTCTAATATGTGCCATACACTATGCTAGGCTATAAAGATAAGGATTAATTAGACAAGACCCCTGCCTCAAGGAATAATTTTCTGTTTAAAAAAGTGCCAAGAGGGGCACCTGGGTGGCTCAGTTGGTTGAGCATCCAACTTCGGCTCAGGTCATGATCTTGCGGTTCATGGGTTCAAGCCCCACATCGGGCTCTGTGCTGATGGCTCAGACCCTGGAGCCTGCTTCTGATTCTGTGTCTCCCTCTCTCTCTGCCTCTCCCCCATTCGTGTTCTGTCTCTCTTTGACTTTCAAAAATGAATAAATGTTAAAAAAAGTGCCAAGATGTTTGCATTTAATATTCCCAAGAAAATTATATCCTTTCTACCACTACCACCCTCACCATCACCATCATCACCATTTTTCTTCCTTACAAAATACAATGTTGGCCAGGGTGGTATCTCAAAAAACCTTCAGTTTGGTTTTTATACTACATATAATAAGTTCATGTACATATAACAATATATGTGTGTATGTATGTAGATACAATTTTTTAAGTTTATAAATTTATTCCAAAATTTAGACTCATAATGAGAAAGAATGGCATTTTGATAGGAAAAATGTTGGGCTCAGAGAACCCTTGTCTTGAAGGTATGGAGGCATGGAATCCAGTGGGATGTCAGGGGAAACTTTGTTGGAGCATGAGGTGTAAGGCTGAAAGCAATGGCAAATGAAGTGGGAGAGCTAGGATATCATTTCCCAAACCATGGCACTTGCCCTTTACCCTATGTAGAGAATAACCCCCTCATATAGTAAGTGATGATCTGCTGGGTCTGGAGTTAGACAAAGCTGGGTCTGTAGTCTAGTTCTATTATATACCGAATTTCTTAGCCTCTTTGTAACTAATTCCTTATTTATAAAACGGAGATAAGAGTGGTTCCAACCATGCACCTGGTAAGCATTCAATAGTGTTGGTTATGAGCCACTCCTGTTCCTTCTCCCTACTTAACATAAATCTCTAAGATTCTTTTTGCCCTCCTTATTAAACAAGACAAGGTCCCCCCAGCCCCATGTTGAAGAATTTACTACTTAATCCCACTGATTTTCTTTGATAATGCCCTTTACCTCTTTCTTTCAAGGCCAACTTCTTGATAAGGTGGATGGAACACTCACCATTGTCAGTTCTTCACTTGTTCATTAGTAGAATCATATAGGAAATCTTGAGCAGTGTTACTAGAATCATCTCCTTTATCAAATTTCTAAAATCAGCCAATTCTGCCATTTATGAAGAATATTTTTAAATAACCAACAAGTATGAATGACTATTTCTAATAGCAACCATGTTCATGGCACTTACTGTTCATAGTCATTGAGTCTTGAAATTACAATAGTATATCCCCTACCAATAAGTTGGTTTCAGCAAAGAAATCAGAACATACACAAAAATTACCTTTTAAAGGGGATAAGATATATCATGAAGTCCATTAAAAAGTGGGGGAAGTTTATACTTCTTTTTTTTAATTTTTTTTTTCAACGTTTATTTTTGGGACAGAGAGAGACAGAGCATGAACGGGGGAGGGGCAGAGACAGGGAGACACAGAATCGGAAACAGGCTCCAGGCTCTGAGCCATCAGCCCAGAGCCTGACGCGGGGCTCCAACTCACGGACCGCGACATCGCGACCTGGCTGAAGTCAGACGCTTAACCGACTGCGCCACCCAGGCGCCCCTGGGAAGTTTATACTTCTTATAGAGAAGCTCTCAAGTCCTCACTCAGAGCCCACTAACTTTTAAAACATTTCAAATGACTTGATATATATCAAGTCACACACACACACACACACACACACACACACACACACACACACACACTGGAGTATTACTTAGCAATCAAAAAGAATGAAATTTTGCCATTTGCAACTACATGGATGGAACTAA